ACACATGTCTGTATGTCGCCGCGAACTTTGCACCCCAGCTTCTCCAGCCCTTTTGCCACCCCCTTGGCGATCTCCCCCATGAGCGTCTTGGCCGTGGACTCCGTCTGGTTGTTCACGTCCTTCTTGAGCTCCTTCAGGTAGAGGTCAATGGCCTCCACCATCTCCTTGCGAAGGTTCACCGAGGTCTTGGCTAACCCCGCATGCACCGCCTCCAGCCTGATCGCCATCTTCTCCGTCAGCAAGCCGTTCGCCATGACTTTGTTGATCACAGCTTGAATTCTGGCTTGCATATCTTGAAAGCGCAGCGAGTCGCGCGTGGCTTCATGCTCACATGCAACCTGAAGGCGGACCTCCACCATGAGTCCCAAGAGCTCCTGCAGAATGGACATGTGCGCCCGTTCTGTCCTTGTCGTAGACCCGGAGGCACTGTAGCGCCACAACCACATTGAGGCGGACATAACCATGATCGTGACGACCGCTTTGGGACCGATGGCGCCGATGGCGCCAGCAGCGAACCCTGTGAGTACCTCCAGGACGTCCCACAAGAGAGCCATGGTTCGAACGAGGTACTGAGTTGCAACCTGAACGAGCGAAGGCCTGTAGCAAAAGGTGCTGCGGCGAACTCATGTTTGGCTGGCTTGACTGCGGGATAACGACAACGTTACACCGACGAGAATGCTATTAATGATGAAGATGAAGAGTTGAAAATTTGCCTGGCTACAGCAACAAGGTGCTTATGATGTTGATGAGATTCATCTTCATGTTCATCAGCATCTTCAGCATCACTGTCACGACGACGAAGACGCAGACCCTCACCCAGTCACCATGCATCACTACCCTAGTCGTTGGAGTCTACACCATCACGACGCATATCCTGCCTACCGCACTCTGCAGAGCTACCGGGACATTGGGCGCTCGGGGGCAAACACTGACAAAGGGGGCGGCTACTTGGGATCGGGGGCTTCAGGTCATCGGGGCTCTCAGGTCACTAGCTGTTCTGGCAAGGGAAAGGAAAGGAGACAAAGGGGTGCATCTCCCAATCCGAACCAGAAGACCAAACGACATCAAACCACCCATCCCCACGTCCATGTTCGAAATGAGCAGAGGGTGCTACAGGCAACGGTTCAAGGCATTAGGGGGGCCGGGTGTTCTTAGTCTAAGAGAGGCTCCAAGGTCTCTGCATCGCTGTCCTTTACTGCACGTCACTGCACTTGTCTTGAAGCGGTGGGAGAGATCATGCATGTGGAAAACTTAAGTGTCGTGCAGGCACCAAATTCTATGTCATGCATACATGCAACATGAATAAGCAATCATGCATACAAGCATTGAATTCCCTAATGACATCGGGACCTAAATTCTCAAATCACTTGCATCTCGGACCCTTCTGGGATCGACAGTCTCACTATTGGGAGCATCTCGGAGGCTCTCAGGGACTGGAGCTGGCCCTCGATTTCTTCCAGCCGTATCAGCGTCGAGTTCAGTTGCGAGCGTAAATGCACCATATGTTGAATCTCGGCCACATCAGATCGTCTCGCCTGAAGCTCTCGCACTGTGTCATGTATGATGTCCACGCTTTGCATACGCTGGCGAAGGTCCAGTCCTTGCCAGAGATTATTGGCGCCATCCATGACCCGCTTGCGCAGGTCTTGCACTTCCCCCCGGAGCTCCGCAATCGAAGCTTGCATTTTGGGCCCGTCCTGCCCCCCCCTCTCCACGAGGGCACTGAGTTGAATTCGCATGCAGTGCATCTCCCTCCGAAGTGCGCGCAGGAAAAACACCGCACAGGCCATGACTGTCCCTATGCAGATGACTGAGAAAAGAGACTCTGGCATGTCAGGCTAGTACAGCACTGTATGTACAAGTTTGGTTCGAGCCTGGCCGACATGGCGTGGATTGCCCACGTATCAGAAGTCTCCGAATTTGTGTGCTTAAGCGTCCAGGACACAACCCCATCAACACAATTTAAAACCAAGCGTCATCAAAGTCATCAAGGTCCGGATCCGAAAGCACGCAATCCCAAAAATCAGGCTCTGGAGAGCCAGGCCCCGCACACACGCTTACAACGTCCTCTTCGGAGTCAGACTCGATGACCAAGGTGGGAGGGCAGGGGTCATCCAGATCGACCGTGACCGGCCCGTGTTGCAGAAGGACTCCCGCTGGCCATCGTCCCATTTGACCCAGCCGTAGTTGTCTGGTCACCACCGCCCCCCATGTCTCCAGTCGGAATCTGTCTTCATCCTGTGTGGTGGGGGGATAGAAGCCCATCGATGTCAGGCGGAACGTCAAGTCCTCCCCAAGGTTTGTTGCGCTATTCGCTGTGCTGTACGCCGCGATTGTCATGCGTGTGCCCTCCCACCTGCAAGTACCATGCAGAACCCGTTTTGCCGAGAAGACGAAGGGGCTAGCTATGTCAATCTGGATACCCCTATGGGGGACTCCATTGCGATACATCGTGGTGGTCCCCTGAGCATGCTCCACCCATAGCTCCCCGCCTGTAAATGCTGTCGTCAAGGCCATCACCATGCCCGGGACGTCGGAGTTGCCAGGATCAGTATGGAGAGGGGAGTCGACGTCCCGCATAACCGTCACCGTAGTGAAACGAACATGTGTGGAGCCCACTGTCTTACGAGCCTCGTGAGGAGCCTCGTTGTAATAGGGTAGCGCTTGCAACATGTACGAACTCCAACAGCCACCCTCTGGTATGCTCCGAAGGATATCGCTCCTCCCCCATAGCGAGGCCCCCACTCAGACATGGAAATCTTGTTCATCACCTCAACCACCTCCGCCTTGGTAACAAAATCATTCCTGTCCAGTATGGCGAGGGCTGCCACCTCTGCCTCCAAGCGTGGTTTCTTGGCTGGCATGGCTGGTATCTCAACTAGGCCTTGCCCTACTCGAGTCTCACAGCAGTTGCGGTCTCAGCGCAATCAGAATTGCCGACTTAAGCTCCGTAAAGTATCTCACCTGGTGAAAGTCAGCTGTGCGGAACATGAGTCGCCATGGGGGGGGAACCGATTGAGGCTCGAACCCTAATTGAAGACTCCAGCGCTGGGGTAGCTTCTTGGGGGGCACAAACAGCCGTGGCAGGAGGTCGCTCTCCTGGCATAGTCTCGTGAACTTGGCGGCGTCCATGTCCCGCGAATCCCTGCTGCCCTCAAGCACATAGCGGGGAAGGAGATACGGTGGGACGACCACGGCCGTCTGTTCGTGGGGGTCCAGGGCAAGGAGACCTAGCAATAGCTCACACACTAGGGTTAGCGCCGGGAAGACAGTGATCTCGCCATTCACATGTGTCATGGGAACATGCAGGACCGAGGCACACTGTGCTTTGTGGTTCTTCTTAAAAAGGTACACGCATGCAACAGGCCACCCGATTCGGTGTGCTACCCAGATCGTGTTGGAAACACAGTTGTTGGCCCTCCAGGGGGCCACTGTGATGAGCCCTCTGTTGTAGCCCTCCTCCAGCACATCCCTCCTTGGGCGTAATGCCGCCGTGCCACCCTTAATAACAACCAGCTGTCGGCCCTGGAGAAATTCCGAGTTATCGGGCGTCGGCATGCCTACATTCCAAGCAGCCAGCCATCTTGGGAGCATGTTGCTCCACCCTGCACGATTGGATGCCTGCCACTCCCAGTATTCATGTTCACCGTCCTGTCTAACACGTGGGTAAAAGAGTCGAAACTTATGCAGAGGGCATTCACTGAGCCATAACAGCTCGGAGTGCCAACTTCTGAGAACTAAGGGTACGCACCAACGTAGTGAGGGGCGTCTCCACCTGACATCGGGCCAAATGTCCCATGTAAGTCCAAACCCTGGTGAGCCACGTCACCTGCCAACGCGGTCCTGAAAAGCGATCGCAGTACAGCTTCAAGGCTCTCCGCACCCCCTGTGTGTTCTCAACCCACGTACTAAAAGGATCTGGAGCAAACCTGAAAATTCCCAACAGAAGTGAGTTCTTCAGGCCTTCCAGAGATCTGAGGGATCTGACGCTAGGCCACACCACAGAACTACACCATGACCATCGCGACGAGACATAGCTTTCGAAAAGCGTCGCCTTGAGCCTATGGGGCGTAGCAGGGTGGTCAAGCAGCTTTTTCATGGCGAAATACGAATTCGTCATTTTACGCAGAGAATGTGTAAGCATAGATTCGGGATCATTGGTGTGTCTCAAGGGGACCCCGAGAAAGGTAAGGGCATCTTTTCCTTCCAGAGGAAGGGCGCTATGTCGCGGCCATACCCCTGGGGTGACTCCCTTGATGTTCAGGACCTGGCACTTGCGCGCGTTAATGAAAAGCCCAATGCACTGCAAGCTGTCTGTCAAATCCCTCAACTTGCTCTGGAGCTCTGCTGCACTCATCGCAAATAACAAAATGTCGTCGGCATACAGAAGAAAGTGTGGCAGGCGTAGCCCGTCTCCCCACGCAGGGAACATTTCGTTCCATCTCGGCTGCAGTCCCCTAATGTGCCTGTCTATCACCCTTGCAAACAGATCAGCTGAGTAACTGCTCCCCTGCATAATGCCCTGCCGCACCGGTACCTTCCAGGTCTCAGCCCCCAGCGACATATGAAGGCAGTTCTCTGAGCATAGCTTCCACAACAGACCCGCCTCCGGACATGGGTCACACTCTGCCAGGTAGCGAACAACGGCAGAATGAGCTAAGCTGTCAAAGGCAGCGCGTATGTCCAACTTTGCTACATGCGCCTCTACCCCATGCTTACGCCGGAGAATCCCGATGACTGTTTGAGCCGCTAGTATGCCATCTACCGTTTGAGTGCCCTTCCTACAGCCGAGCTGGCCACTGGCGAATGCAGGGCATCGAGCAGCGACCCTGTTCATGACGAGTCTACCAAAGACCTTCGACAAGCAGGGGGACAAACATATAGGGCGTAGGTCAGAAGGGCAGGACGGAGCAGGGGTTTTGGGCAACAGGACCACTTTGGCTTCGGCCCAACTAGAGGGGACCTGCAACTCCCGAAACAAAAGCTGGTTGAAGTACCGAAGCAATTTACCCCGGGAGTCCTTCCGGTGGTAGGTTTTAATGGCCTCGTAACACACTCCGTCCATGCCAGAGCTCGTACGTGGTTTGCACCTGGCAATAGCAGCTGCAAGCTCGTCCTCAGAAAAGGGATTCGGCTGGATGGTTGTGTGGGTGCGGAGCATTTGGTCCACCGCTTCCTTGGTGGGAGCCGGAAGGAAAGAGGAGTACTTAGCTTCGTAAAACCTTTGCAACTCGGTCGCCGCTGGTTTTTGTCCACCTCGGAGCTCAATGTAGCTCGTCTCGAAGGAACGCTGGGCTGCGCTCTTACGAAGGTAAGTAATGGCTCTCCTGTCGCCCGCCCTAGCGTCCTCCAGGATCTTGATTTTGTGATCCGCTTTGGCTAGGGCCCGCTCATGGCGAACCTTGCACAAGAGGGCCGCCTTGACCTGCGGGTCTGTTTCCTCTCTCCTGCTCTTAATGGTTTGCTTAAGTCCCTCCGAGTCCTGATACCGCAAGGACGGCGGTCGCGTCGAATTACTTGCACACAAATTCGCAAATTCTGCTGGGTCAAAGGG